AAAATAATAAAATTAAATTTATTATAATTGTAAAACAGTAAAATTTTTACAAAACTTAATAATTTTTATTAAAAAGAAAATTTCTTTCCGTTATTTAATGCTAAAACTCAGCCTTCATTTTTTTTTAATTTACTATTTAAAAAAATTAAAAAAAAAAAAACTTCTTCAAAGAGTGAGTATGGTTGAAATATATGACTTAGCTTTAAAGACAAAAAAAAATCTAAAAATAAAAAAAAAAAAATTGAATTATTTTTAAAATAATGGTTATTAATTTTATTGTCAAATTTAAATTTAATTGTTTTATTTCATAAATTATACTAGTTTTCCTTATTATTATTAATTTTATAAAAATTTTAAACTATATTTTCCAATTATTTTTGGATTGAGCTAGGCAAAATGGATTAGATAAGGTATAAAAAGAAACTAAAAAGATCTGCTAAATATAAAAAAAAAATGTACAGAATTTGTACATATTTATTATTAGAATAGATATTCAGTTAAAATTTAAATTAAAACTTAATAATAAGTATTCATAACATTTTTTTTCTCCTTTTAACAAAAAAAAAATAGCAACAATAATGATAACGAACGCTTTTTTCATGTACAAATTAATTATAAATTAATTAATTAATTAATTTAAATAATGTTGAGTTTTCTTTATATAAATTAAAAAAAAAATTCTATTTAAAACTATAATACCACCCGAATCTGTTAATTTCAAATTTTGACCGAAATTATGTACAATACTAATTTATACAGAAAAATATAATTTATTATAATACAGAAAAAAAAAGAAATTATGAAAGTTAAAAGCGTATAAGCTATAAAGAATTGTTTTACTTTTCTTTACAAATATAAAAATTAATTTTATTTATTAGATAGAAAAATTTTCTTTAACTACTACACTATAAGAATTTTATTTAACATAGTTCAATTCAATATGTATTGTATTTCAAATGACAAAAAAACAAAAAAAAAAACAAAAATTAGTAAATGTATATTTACATTTAGGAAAAAAGTAGTTGGTATAATGTTTGTTAAAGAAATTTAGAAGGTATTTTAAAATATAATTATATGGAATTAATAATTAAAATATTTTATTGAATGTTTATCGAAAATGTCTCTTTAGTCGTTGGAATTTATTATTATATTATTGATATTAAATACATGTATAAGAAAAATTAATTAGAAAATTGATTATTTCAATATTTATATATTTAATTTTGTTATACTTTATGTTATAAAGTTTTTCCTTTAATAGCTTCTTCCCCAGCTATTACATGGAAACGGTTTTCATCATATATAATATGAGTTTAAATATTTCAATTCAATTTTTTTATATTAAAAAATTTTTTTTTCAAATTTTAAGGATTTATTTCAAATAAATATTCATTTGTTTCATACGTGTATATTATTTATTATGCTTTCTTTTCATTCTTTTTCAAAGATAATTTTAAATATTAAAAATGTTTTGAAAAAAAAACATATTTGTTGTAAAAAAAAGAAATTTCATATAAAAACCAAAAGTTAATTGTTTTTATATTTAATTTCTTTTGTTTTTTTTTTTTAATATTAAAAAAATAGGGTGGCAGGTCCACAAACAAATTAATTTGAAATATACGAAAAAAAATTCTATTTAATTCATTAAAAAAATTAATAAATAATTATATATACATACATAATATTTTATTTTAATTACTTCTTTTATTTGAAAAGGGTTATAAGAATAGACACTAAATATTTTCTATTTTTTTTTTTGTTATTGATTTAACAAGTTAAATATAATTATACTATTTATATATTGACGAATTAAATTCAAAACTAAAAAAAAAAAAAGACTCAACTTTTTTGCTTTAAAAATAATTCAATATAAAAAAAATAAATTAATAATAATTTTTAATATATAAAAAAATAAAAACTAAAAAAAAAATCAAAAAATATTTCGCCATACAAATTCTTGAAAATTATGTCGTATGCAAAGCATTAATATAAGAGCATAAACTTTTTAGGCTTGAATTATTGTAAGGAATGTTTAATATAACTATGAAATAAATATAGTAACAAAATGAATAAAAAATAAAAAAAAAGGTAATTTAATTTTTTATCCCAAAAAAAAAAAAAAAAGAAAATAAAAAAAAAAAAACAAAAAAAAAAACAAAAATATTAAACAAAATTAACAAACAAGGCAAAAACTGTTCATTTTTACATGTACGTATTTTCTATTTAAGTATAAAATTAATTACAATGTTTTATTAATTTGAAAATTTTTTGAAATATACGTTAAATTTATTTTGAGTTATTTAAAAAAAAAAAAAAAGGATAACAAACCAAAATCTTAGTGCGTACTTTATTGAAATATATAGGAAATTTTAACAATATAAACAAAGTAAAACCAACAAAACAAAAAAAAATACAAAAATAAAATAAACAATTTTTATATGGACGATTAAAAAGCCATAAAATATCACCGTAAAAACTTAGGATTAAAATTATATTGCCTCTCAAATTACATTGAAATCAGCAAAAACAAATACTAAACATTACAGACATTTAAGCGTAAATTTCTTAATTATATAAAACATTTGGTATTTAAGTTATTTTTTTTTTTTGTCTAACTCAAAATTTATTTAACACAAAATTAAATTTGTATTCTTATAAAAAACAAAAAAAAAAATGTAATTGTTTTAATCAAAATAAAAATGCACAATGTAAAAAGAAAAAACCAAAGTAATGGTAAAAAAAAATCAAATAAAACTATACTTTATTGTCAAAAAAAAAACAAAAATAAGTAAAAAAAAAAGAAACCCTAAAATTATTAAGAATTTATTTTTTTTTTTACCGATATTATTTTTAAAACACCTTTATTTTATTTTTAAAAATGTTTTACAATTTTTCCTTTTTGTTTTCAAAAAATTTAATTTGATTTTATAAAAGTAGGAACCAATAAAAAAATTTTGTTTCATTTTTTTTTTTTTCAATTTTTTATTTTTGTAAGGATCTTATTTTTATTAGAATTATAAAGAAATAAAAAAAAAGAAAAAAATTTAATAATATTAAAAATTATCTTTAATTATGTATAAAATAAAAAATTAAAAAAAAAGAACAAAATCAGAAACATTTTTTCACACTTTAGCTTAAAATAAATTGTATTTAATTAATAAAAAAAAAAACAAAAAAAAATAAAAATATACAATTTAATTGAATTTGTTATGCAAAATAAAAAAAAAAATTTATGACCTTTTATTTACATTTTCGTTTAAATTTATTACAATAAACCTACTTACATGTCTGTTCCTTTGCGGTTGTTTCCTTATTAATATTTTTCAAGCACATCTTTATTTCATAAATCTAATAGATATAGGATTTGCGTGCTTAATTCACTTTAAATATCGAAAAGTACTGAATCCAGATTAATGTGCTAATAATTTGCTTGAACCCAGTTATGGAATGTATCCTTATATAATATACATATATTCCATATCCTTATATAACCTTCTTATATATGTATATGTATTCCAATTCAAACATAGTTATACTATATCACGTATGCATGCCTATTAAGGTGGGCCTTAGAAATTTAGTAAAAACATTTCGTCCAACAATGAAAGTAAAGAAAGTGTCTTGCAAAGAAAGCATAATGTTGTGTTCTCTATTTAAACCAGTAAAGGAGACATCTTATCCTTAAACAAAAAATTTAATTCTTTAAATTTTAAATGTTTCATATTAGTATAAGCCGTTTAAAAAATTTTTCTATACCTACCTATATGTGTTTACTTATACATCTATATGCATACATACAGGTTTATAGTTCTCTTTCAATGCGTCTTTTTTTTTCTACAAAAATCTTGTGGTACAGCTTGCTAAGTTGCTCAAAAACTGAGCTTGGATTAACTTTGTTGTAGTAACTACTAATTTTAAATAAAATTGGTGGGTAGATAATGCAAATGTATCCAAGGGCTGCCTACTTTGTCCTAAGCTTTAATGCTATATACGGTATACAATAAAAAAATTCACATCATTCCTGGTACATTATCCGTTATTTTATTTCTTATTACTGCGCGGCATTATTAATTTATTATAATTTAAACTATATGATTGACATTTGTTTTGTATAAAACGTCAAAACGTTAGATAGACGTGTCAATATATAATTTAAAATATGTATCCGGTGCGGTTGCCGTGCGGAAATTTTTAGATTTTTAATTCACCAAAGTTTTAAAGCAAGTTTTTGACAACAAAGTTTTAATACATACAAAAGATTGCTTATCTAATAATAATATATATTTTAATAATATATTTTAAATTGGTAGACTATTATATGCTCACAATTTTTATAGAAAATTTTCTTACTGGTAATTTAACCAGGAATTTCGGCATATTAAATGAATATTAAATATTTATTAAAAAATGCCAATAAATTGTCTGTGTAAACACTCAAATTTAAAATTCAACAAACAAATTATTTTATCTAACTGCATACTAAATAATTTCAAGATGTACTCATTTCTGAGACATACAATTTTAATAAACTGGCAGTAAAGTTTATCTTTCCTTTTCTTTCTAAAGAGATCTTCCCCGTTTCCGTAAAAAAAAATTTATAATTTATGACGATTCATATGATTTTGACAATCCACTATAGTAAAATAAGTGAACATTTGAAATGAGACAATTAGAACAAATTTGTCAAATTAATATAATATTAAAAAAATATTGCATATTTTCTTATTATTCATAAAAAGAATAAATTTTTTCAGAGGAAAGACAGTCTTTTTATTTAAAAAAAAAACATAATCTGATAAATTTTTTTCCTTTCATATTTCTATTAAAAAATTCTGTAAAACTTGTAAATTTTTATTTTGTTTACTTTTTTTGCCGAAAGATGTATGGATTATTCAATGATGCCAGGGATGGCAATCAAATATTCATTTGTTGTTTACCACGTGAAATGCAATTGAATTTAAGCTTAAGCGTATTTAACGTCAATTTGGTATAGTAAAAATATCAAACGTCAACGTCAAACATTTTTATTTTCTCCAAAAAATCGTAAGACATGGGTAGAAAGAAAAAGTTGCCTAAAAAACCAAAATTAGAAATAATATACGATGAAAAATCAAGAAAGTAAAATAGTTTGTGAATTATCATTTGATTTTATGTAATAATTTTTTCCTTTAGGGATTTTTTAACTGGATTTCGTAAAAGAAAAAATGAGAGAAGGAAACGTGCTAAGTTAGAGTTAGAGGAAATGGTAAAAAATGAGCGTAAAAGGATCCGAGAAGAAGCAAAAAATGATGTCAATAAGTTAAAAAAATCTTATGCTCCACTGCCCTTTGAGGATGATATAATTGAACAAGAAAAATATGCTGAAGAAAACGATGATGTTACTGTAAAAGTAATAGAATTGACTACTAAGGAAATAGCTGAAAAACGCAACTTTTTAGGTCAAAATGAATTCAGCGAAAGTGAAGAAGAAGTCAATACAAATGAAGAAGTTGAAAGTGAACCCGAGGAAATACCCGGTATGTCTTTGACAAGACCGAAGAAAACAACTTTGAAATTTCCAACTAAAGAGAAAGAAAATACTGGAAAACAAAAAAATGGAGCTCTCAACACAAAACGCGATGTTAACAAAATGATGCAGAAAGTTACTCTTAAATCAATCAAAAAAAGTAAAGTATTTAAAATGAAGGAGAGATTCAATCGCTTAGAAAATAAAAAATTGGCTAAAAGACAGAAGAATAGAGATATACGTCAATTAAAAAGTCAAGGAAGGCGAATAGAGAAAAAGCCCAATTTTAGATTGTTAAACAAAATTCGAGGAAAAAATCCTCATAAAAGAAGGAAATAAATGACTTGTTATTTGTTTTCTGTTTAAATTTTCATCTACATTATTTGTTTATGAAGTTTTAAATAGAAGTTCAGTTTTACAATTAAAAAATTAGTAACTTAAGTAAAAATTAACTTTATTAAAACAAATTTTTTACAAACCAATTTTTAATATTTTTTTATTGCTTAATTTATAAGCTACAAATTGGTGGACACACTTACTTGGGTATGCATATAAAGTTTTAAATTTGTAGATGTAAGATGTATACTTTTTTTACTTTGTAGTTAGCGCAATTTTATAAACTACTCCCAGAAACTATTAACAAAACGATTTTAGATTTGTATTATAAACAAGCAATTTAAAATTCCTACATTTGGGAGTAATAAGTATTTGCTTGGTAGTTTTTGCTTTTGTTTGATTTGTTTATTTGTGTCGAACAACTTATTGGTTGATTGTGTTGATTCTGGTATGATGAATGTTGTTTTTGAGTGTTCTTAGTTGCAGTCTTGTGCTGCAAATTCATTTCCTGTTGAAGCAACTGACTTTGTTGATTCTGTTCCTGTTGTTGTTTTAATTGAGCTACTCTACAAAGTTCTTCGATAACCTCATGATTGTATGTTGAATGCAACATAAGACCTAAAACACCTGCCCGACTAGTCATACTTGCACGAATTTGTCTTTCTTGATCTAATAAGTCATCCATTTTAAGCCATTGCCGAACGCGCTCTAAATCAATTTCAGCTCTGCGAATTTTCTCCCACACATAATGCTTAAAGCAATTTTTTTTGGGGGCACGGCAAAATTCCCCGGTTAAAGTGAAAACATTTTGCACTAATGGGCAACCGCAAACATCAGTATCCAAAACTTTAGGATCTTTACAATGTTCAGGGCAAAGAACTCTTAAACGCTTACAATAAGTCCCACTTGCTGCATTGTAAAAATCGCAAAACATAGAGTTTCCCTCAATTCTGGTTTTAAAAATACTGCCGAAACTTGCTTGACTCTCATATTTATTAAAACATTTTTCCATATGACGAATGGCAGTTCGTGAATGTATTTCATGTCCACAAGTAATGCAATACATAGACTGTTCATCTAAAATATTACAGCTTTTAGTGAATAAAAATTATAAATATGACAATTTTTTACCTTCAATGTCATTATTATCTAGCGCTTTTGGATCTAGCGTGCAACTTTTTGCTCTTTCAACTAATAAATCTAATTCCGCATGCCTTTTATCAAGTTGGGCTAAAGTATAACTGACAGTTGCCTGTTTTTTCCGAATACTGTCTAATTGCTTTTTATTTTCTTCCTCAGCACGACATCTTGTCAAGGTCCACTCTTGAATTCTTTGAGGTAAAACCTGAAAAATTCTATTCGTCGCTAATTTCATTCCACATGCATCAGAGCAATATTTTGACTGTGGACGAGCATTATATGTACACCCTGGACCACGACATTGTCTAAGACCCTCTAATTCTGGATTCATAAATATTTCTGGACTTACAGACCTTTTTCTTTTTTTTATGCGATTTGTCGTTTTCCTTTCCTTTTTCTTCTGATACAGGCAAATTCTCTGTTCGCACCGCGGCTTTCTTCCAATTTTTCTAGATAGGCAACCATCACACATACCACAACTTGGTCGCTGGCATCCTTCGCAAGTTCCACATCTTGGTGTTGAACTTATTGCTGAATTTTGTCCAGCAGAGCTCGGTGTTGTAACATTTGACTTTTCTTTTTCCTTTTTCTTTTTCGGTGGAGTTGTTTGTATAACATCTGGCGTCACAGCATTAGTTGGCATAGCAATTTTTTCAGCTGGAACTAATCGAAAAACAGTCTGCAAAGATGGATCAACCTCCTTACATCTTTGGCAATAGTAGTGTTTAATATGCTTAGCTTCCTTTTCAGAAATGTTAATGCAGTCCCCATGATACCATTCTTCGCATCCATCGCAGCATCTACAATTTTTTTGTTATATACACATAAAACAAGTTATTTTTTTAAGCATACATACATCATAAATCTTGAGCAATCTGATGAACGACAAAGACAATATGCTTGGTCATCTTGTTTCATTATTGTGGCAATTTTACTTTTTCTTTCTGGAAGATCGAATTCCCTAGCAATTTCTTCCTTCTAAAATTATATATGTATGTTATCATTTTCATATTGAATCAATGTTTTTCATACCGATTTTTTCAGTTTCTTTTTTTCGGCCATGTTTCCAAACTTTTTAAAAATGTATTTAACAGATTATCGGCAAAAATTTTTAATTACGATAGAATAAATGGTAACTTTCAGATAAATACTTTTGTTTTAGTAGAATGAAAACGCTATGTTTATTGCTAATAAAATATTTAGCCAAAAAAAAACTAATTTACAAAAACAGTAGTTGTCACATCACTTGAAATGTCAGAATTAAAATTAATGATTACAACTACGACTGACAGTAAAATTTTTGTTATGTCAAGATTGAAACACAGTGCCAAGCCCAAAAATATTTTTTACTTTTGGCACTGTGTTTTCAAAAATCATATACAGAGTCAGTCAGTAAAGAGTATATTTTAGCTTAACGGTCACATTCGGCAAGCATATCTCAATATAGCGAGATAAAAGGATTTGTACGAAATTTGTCCAAACTTTTTTGCGTATGTGTAAAATGAAAGACGAAATAATTAACATTACTGACATCAAAATCATCACACCATATTTTTTAAAATCCTCAAATTTAAATTTTTTTTATTTTTTTTTTTCGTTTTTTTTTTTATTATTTTAAAGTTTATTTTGTTCCAAAAAAAAAAAAATACCTATTTAATTTTCAGTTTCATAACCAAAAAATGTTTCAATTCTGTATCTCTATCTTATTTCTACTAACTAATATTTTTTGGTAGAGACAATTCAGATTTTGTCACTGCTTTTATAAAAAAGCCAGTAATGCAGTGGCTTACTTAGGCTTAGTGATTTTTGTTATTTACGAAACGTAAAACAACTTTGAGATGTACTTGTATATGTCATTCAGAATCTCAGATTCAGATAAAATTTGTATTTGTAAAATCTGTTTGACATCAAACTTTGCCAACAGAGTTACTGTTACATTTTTTAAAGTGAAATAGTGATAATTTATTTTTTGTAAAAGTTTGGAACAGTGATTATAGTTGATTTTTTTGTTTTAGGTATAATTTTCGTAGCAAAATTATTGTATTTTAACCTTGACATAACAAAAATATTTGTCTGTGATTTTGACATCAAGTTTAAACGTCAACAGAACATTAATTTGATTAAACAAAATCTTCACGAACGATAAGAGATTTTCAATTGAAGTTTAATTGAAAGAAGTGGGAAAATTCGAATCCAATCAGATACCAAAAAAAAAGCTAATTTCATGCAAAATGATATATGATGTCATAAGTCGTATGCGCATTAAGTTTATGCGTCAAGTCCATTAATATAAAATTGAATTCACTTTTTTACACCTTTTTCCATATATCTGTATTTCTCTGTATCGTATTTCCCAAATATTCGAAAATATGGAAAAAGGTGTAAAAAATCTTTATTCTGAAAAACTTCAATAGTATTAAAAAATCTTAATTTTAAAGATTTTTTTGTATATAAAAACTTTTAAAAATTTAAAGTTTGACACAAAAAAATGACCAAAATAATTTCATTTTGAAGGTAAATATTCACTTTTGGTAGTGCTAATTCTAAATTTAATTCTATCATATAATACAGGACTTCTTAAACTGTGGGTCGAGACTACTGAAAGGAGGTCAAAAATTGTTACAAAAGTTTATTTTTTCTATTGAATATATAGATATACATAGTTTTATGTCATTCTATTTATTGTGTTTTATTACAACCGATATCCCATCAACGTTTCCAATTATATATATGTGAAATGAATGGTTACGTATTCTTTAATCCTTATTTAATTTACATTGTAAAATAGTGCGATATTACATCTACATCTACGGTTAATATATTATATTTCATTATATGGAGGAGGGGGTCGTTTAAAATTGCCTAAGCTTGAAGGGGGTCGCTATATAAAAAAGTTTAAGAAGCCCTAATATAATATATAAACAGTACTTTGCTTATTGGATTTGGTTATTAATTTAATTATAATTGTAACTTACTTATTAGTTTACTATATTTAATTTATAAAACGAAAAATGAACTTGATTTTATTCAGGAATGAGATTTCAAATTTTCATTTTTGTCGTTAGCACCAGTGGTCGAAGTGAAACCAGTGGTCGTTAGCACCAGTGGTACTCAAAGTGGTGGGATGGTAAAAAAAAAAAAAGTATTATTTTAGTTATTTTTAAAAAAAATAACTAAACAAAATTTACCAAACTTTGGAAGTAAACTAACGAGAATATTTATATTCAAAATTAAATCAACTAAAAATTGAATCAAAAACTGTGCAAATTGTTACCAAAGAAATGCATATACTACTATGTAGTAACGAAAATTTCATTAATAGAAAAAAATTATACGTTACTATTTGAAATTGGTCTTATTTAAAATTACATATATTTAATTTTTGGTTAAATAAATTTTTAAAATTCATTAGAAAATTTTCTTAAATTTTAAAAATTATGTTCCGGAACGCATTTTTCTCTCCTATTAAGTAGTGGGATGGATTTCCAATTATTTAAAAGTACTGGGATGGCATCCCACTCCATCCCGCCTCACTTCGAGCACTGGTTAGTACTGAAAAATATAGTTCTTGGATATTAGAAGCCCAATAGAATCAACAAATTTTGACTTATAAAATATATAGGTAGGTATGCATATTATTTATAGTTTTTTCTATATAATGGAATTCATAATGAAATTTAATAAAATAAAACAATATTTTTTATATTTTATATAGGATTTTATTTTATTTTTGCGCCTGTATTTCTGTTTTAAATTTAATTTTTAGATAAAGTTTTACATATATCATAGTTCTCTTTTTCTTTTATTTATTATTTATTTTTTTTAATATATAGGTTTAATATATTATATATATATACTTTTATCTTTAGTTTTTAAACATTTTTCCTTTTTGCTTACTTATCAATATCAATTCTTTTTTTTACCTTTCATTTTTTTTTTCATATTTTGCAATACAATCGTAACCTTATATTCTATATTCTGTATTCTAAAATGCATTTTAAATATTTATTTTTTTTTTTTTTTGTGTATTTCATAATTTAATTTATACAATTAGGTATTTATTTAGTAAAATTTATTATAAAAGAAAAAAAAAATGAATTTTTCGCTAATTTAATCAAAATTACATTTTTCCGATTCTAATTTTTTTTTTTTAATTTCCATTATCTTTTTGATTTCAAATTTTGGCAATAATTTTCTTTTCTCATCATTTCTAAATTTCTTTTCTTTTCTTTTTTGTATATTTTTAAATTTTAGTTTTCGTTTTACTTAAAAATACATTAAGAGGAGAAAATTTATACATTTCGAAAATTCCAAACATTTATTATAGCTATGTATGTTTTTTTCCAAGAAAAAAAACAAAAACAAAAAAGAAGAAAGCATGGGTTGACCAAGAACATTTTTACATTAATTATAAAAAATTCATAGTTTGATTAATCAATAAACTCAACTTAATTAAGTTTGTAATTTTTTCTTTATAATTATAATTTGAGACGTGGGATATTATGTTGAAGAACAGAAATTCTATATTGTGATAAGTTAGCCGATTAAATATAAAAATGAAAAAACGGTTTTAATTGCTATGGCAACGTTTAATATCTGGCGAATGGAAATCATTCACGGATCATAATTTGATATTATCACGAGATTCGCCAAGTTCAATCTATTCGCTTACAGGAGATTTTTAAATTATAATTTTATTAAAACGAAAATTGTTAAAAAAGTAACTAAATTTTTTTTAAAACATCATATTTGTGCATACAATTTAATTAATTTTTAATTTATTTATGTTCATTTTATTATAAAAAAATACATAATTATTATTATAATAGTTGATTTTTGAGAAAACAAAAAAAAAAAAACCGAACTTTCTATTGAAGTTGTTCTTTGTAGCCGAAATGTTTTTTTTTTTGTCGTTTTTTAATATTACATTAACAATAATAATAAGTTTAATTATAGATATAAATATTTTTTTTTTTTAATTTTTTTCAATTCATTTTTAAAGTAGAGATTTACAAATTACAAATTAATTTAATAATATAATATTAAATTTTTTTTTTGTTTACTTTTTTATAATAGAAAATAAAAATATTTAATGTATCAATATTTTTTTTTATATTTTAATATAACATTATCAAAATATATTTACAAAATTTAAATTTAACATAAAAAATTTTTTTTTTATGTAAAAATAATTAAAGTTATTTTAATATATAAATTTTATTTTTACATGAAATTATATTAAAATAATAATAATATAATCAAAAGGGTATAAATTGCATATTTTAAAATGAAAAATTTTAATTCATTTTGTTTTTTTAAGTAAAGTTTTTTATTTCTTTTTTTTTTTTTGTTTTTATTAATTTTTTAAATAAATAAATTTTGTAAAAAAAAAAAGAAATTAATTATAGTTTACGGCGGCTGTCTTGTTTAATAATTTTATTTTATTTTGTTATTTTTTTTGGGTGTGTTATAGAAGATTATTATTTTATATTTTGTGTACAAATTTGTATTTAATTTCAAATATAAATATTTTTATATAATATTTCAAGTTTATTTTATTATTATTTTATTTCATAGTGTTGTTTTTTTGTTTTTGCGTTTATTTTTTATTTATTTTTATTTTTGCGAGTAGAGTTTGTATTTCAATACCATTATATAAATGTTAATGTTAAACTATCTAATACTTGAGTAGGAGAGTTTTGCTGTTTAAGTTTGATTTAAATTTTATTTTTTTAATTCTTTGTTCCAAAAAATTCTTCATTTATTTTATTTTTTGTTGGTTTAATTTAATTTAATTATTATTGTTTTATTTAATTTAATTTTTATATATAAATGCGTAAAAAGTTTATTATTTGTATTAATTATTATTTTTGTTTTTTTTTTTTTTGTTGTTTTTTGGTTTTAATATTTTATAAAATTAGAAATATTATAAAATTACGAAAAGAATATAAAAAAGAAAATAAAAAAGATTCTTTTTTTCTTTTGTTCGTTTATAAAATTTTTTTGTAAAATTTCAAAATTTTTCATTTGTATAATAATTATTATTAATAATTATCGTAATAATTTATTGTATTTTGTTTTCTTCGTTTAAATTCTGAAATTGTATATTTTTTTATATTAATTATTTCTTGTATCAAAAAAAAAAAAAAAAATTTAAAATTTTGAAATTCTGTTTTAAATTATTGTTTTATGAAAATTTAGTGCTCCAATCAATTTAAAATTTAATTACACTT